AGCTTCGCTGATTTGTTTCTATTTAATTGCGATGAATTTACATAAAAGCCTTAACGTACACATTCAAACATTCACACACGCACATATGCCGGTACAAAATAAACAAAAGCCCACACTCAACATTACACATACATACTGACGCTCTCACTCACGCTTATTACACTTAGAAACAACATAACATAGACATCACATACATATGTGCAATTATAATTGATTTCAATACATAAATATTCATTTCTAAAGATATGCAAACACGTCTATTTGCATAAAGTTCATGTAGGTGTGTAACTGTATGTGTGTAAGTAAATATTTATATTCTATATTGTGTTCATAGGGCTTATCGCTGTCAGGCCGTCATTTTCAATTGTTTCGCGTACGCATTTTGCTGATGTGTGAGTTTATTCAAATGTAATTGTTCGATGTATTTTGTTACATATTCGCAATGTTTCAAGTTTCTTTGTGTGCGCATACAATTATGCAAATCGTTGGAGTCGAAATGTTTGCGAGTATGTAAAACAAATGTTAATGTTTCATTTCACAGTAAGCGAATTCATGTTAATGCATGGACCAATCAATGCTGCTAATTATTATAACTTGCACATTTATATGGGAAGCTCTGAAATCATTAATGTTTTTAGACAATTGAACAAAAACTTGGAAAATTCATTTATAGACCGCTTAATATTTTGAAAATATTTAAATATGAGTATTGAACTTCACAGTTTTGAATAGTTTACAATTTATGTATATATTTATATTAACGATAAATAGCTAAAAGAGATCATTAATTACATTGAATCAATTGGTGTAATACATACAATGTTATTTATTGTGTGTGTATTATCTATTTATATGTAAATATTAAAAATATTAAAACTAATTTATCATCCAAATCGACCAGAATATTTTTTATAAAGTCTTCAATATATATACTTTTCGAAACGAAATGAACTACGAAAAAAAATTTCTTTTTATATTATTTTACTCAATTGAATCCTTGGCTATATGGTCAGTAGCTGTTTCGAGTAATATCAAATACCCATCATCAGTGGTTTTAAAATTATTTGTTATATTTAATTATTCGTAAATAATTATAAGAGACTACAAGTAACTCAGAGTTAGTTGCAGAGTTACTCATTAGATAATTGACCCAAAGCCATATTTGACTTGCGAACTTGGAGTTTTCTTGATTTGTTGTAAAATTTCATTAACAAAACCTCTACGAAATCTTTCTCTCTCATTACGAAACCTCTCTATTAAATGTAATGGTTTCAGTGATTATTTTCTATTAAGTAAAATAAACAATACCGTCGCATCTAACGTTGAAATCACGTTTTCAGTGTATTATATTAAATAAAAAATAGTTAAAAGAAAAAAAAATTTTGGTAAATAGTTGGATTATTCAGTTATTTATGCTTGCTGAGAGGCAATCATTATATGGCTTTTGAAGTGTAAATTACAGGGTCTTAAGAATCAACTGTAAAGACAGCAAAAAAAAATAACTTAAATGCAACTTCAACAGAAAATAAAATACGAGACAAGCAAAATTGGGTCATTATATCACCTACGTAGTCAAGGCTGCACAAACTTTCAATGCTCAAGTTCCAGATTTTCGCTCCTAATTAGACAGTTACGAGTTCTAAGCCTGGCACTTGCAGTTTAAACAAATTATATATAAACTAATTAAAAAATTCGAGTATTTCCTCAGATCACTGATGATGATACTCAAAACTGCGTTGTATGGTCAGTCAAATTTCAATAAATTAACTTAATTTGCTTGCTTTTAAAAAAAGCTTTTTTGTAGTCAGAAGACTTACTATTTTTGTGACATATTTCTAAAACTTCTTTAGATTGAAACAAAAAACGAGTGAGACACAACATAAAATATTAACAGTTAACATAGGTAACAAAATATAAACTATTAAAAATATTTATTTTATTCCCAAAAAATTCGGTATATTATCATTATATTGCAAAATAATTAAGGTCTTTCCGTTTGCAAAGCCTAAGATAGGCTCATTTAAAAATCAGTCTAAAATGTAAATTAGCAAAACCATTTCGAAGTATATTTTTTAGTAAAAATATTTAAATTTTTTTCTCGAAGTGCCTATATTATTATTTAAAAAACCAAGCTTATAAGAAAAATTTTATTAAAAACGATGGTGATGAGGTCAAAAGCTGTTCTACTTATTACAGAATGATCCATATGCCGATTAATTACTATTATTTATGTATCCCAAAAATTATTGAATAATGTAATCAAAATAAACTATATGGAAACAATTAAACATATTTATAGTTGTGTGAAATATTCAACTTTGTCGTTAGTATATTATTTTATGCAGAATCATGCATAGCCCATTTCAAGAGTCAACAAACAAAAATATTAAGAATTAAAATTTAATGAAAAAATGGAACGCAAAAAAGCATAGCTATACTTGTATTTTTAACTGCATTAATTTATTTTCATTTAAAGTTATAAAAAAATAACTGCAGAATATGCAGCTTTTATTAAAATAAAAAATCTTCAATATTTCAATACACTTTAAGAGATGGCAGTCAAACAGCATATACGACAGTTTCCATGGTTTCATTAACTGAAATTTTAATATCTGTGATTTTATTTCTTGTTATTAATTTTGATTGTAATACCACGATTCCGTATATGAGGTCTTTTATCGTAAATAATTCCCCAGCAATAAAAAATAATTTTAAAGGCTTTAATATTCATACGAGTGTACATCGATATATGAAAGCATTTAATATAAATGGATGGGTATGATTTTTTATATAAAACATACGTACGATATGTTTTCCTCATCTACAGAAGGAAATACTTTCTTATTGTAGAATTAAGTACAACTTTAATTAAGTGCAATGAATATCCTGTATGTGAATCTGAATAAATCAGGTACGTGCACGTCCATAGTAGTACACAATTATATAAAAATGCTATAGATTTTTTTTTTGTCGTTTGCTATTAACAATTATTTTGTATTTTTATATTAAAACTTTATATGACTTTTCTCTGTTTTGTGTAGATTTTAATAAATAAAAATTTCTGTTGGTATAAGCTCAAAGAAGATTTAAATAGTTTCTAAAAAGCTTAACCCTGACCACAGTTCAACCCTCCCACAGTCACTTAATCTAAAAAGGAAGAGAAATAATATCCAGCCATTATGAAAAAACTAATTAAACTCATTCTTTTTAAAATGCATTTGTGAAGTTTTTTATGTATTTTCTTTTACTCCTCGCGTATGCATTCCTTTGCATTTTATTTTAATTTATATTATTTTTATTCACTTTTTGAGTTTCGTTTTACCATTATTTTCCATAATAATAAAACACATAAAACTAAACAAATACTTATTAAATTGTTAACTCGAGAATAGTTTTAAAGGTTAATACCTTTAAAGTTATATTTTATTACACAAGGGCCCACGCTGCGTATGAGTTATTTATGTTAATGAAGTGACCGACTGGAATGTGTAACAAAATAAAATATCTCAAGATAATAATAATATATTCTTATCTTAATTTATTATTAATTAATTTATTTATAGGAATTATAATTAAGAATTATATTACTGCAGATGCATAAACTATAGTATCTCCATCAAGAATTAGACCTAATACTTTACTCAAAATTTTTCTCGCAAAAACTAGGTAGATGCGTTGAACATATGCACTCATGTACTTAGAGTTAACAACATTAATTGAAATAGTTTGGTGTAGGTCTATCACTGTTTAATTTAGTGGTTAAATAAGAAATTAATAAGCTAAATTCATATTTATCATATCCTTCGTTTTTTTGTTACATTGCAGCAAAATAGTAGTTTAAGTCGACACACCGAATAACGTAAATGAATATGCATGAAACTTACATCAGTGATTATAAAGTGCTCTAAAATAAACATCAATAGATATGCCTACCATAATGTGCATAATTTTAAGCCTAATGCCATAAAAATCAACACGTACTGAAGAAAAAGGACCTGGTTAACATTACTACCGAAATAGGGAGTAAGAATTGATAGTGAAGAAAAAAAACCTGGTTAACATTACTACCGAAATTTGAAGTTAAAATTAATAGCGAGTGGACTGAGAAAAATTGAAACCATATAACATACACAAACAGGCTCTACTTTAAAACTTTTTCCATACAAGCATCATGTGCACTACCTAACTTTGTTCAACATAGATTGACATTAAGTTATTTCATTTAACTTAGATTGAAAATTGAAGCATTAATACACTTTCGTCTGTTAGCGAATTGTGACGTACTACTTTAAAGCACTGACTCTATTCTATATAGATCGACATCAAGTCACTTTGTTTAACTTGAAATAATCTTTGATCTCTGCCACTAAATCATGTGTTTTGGTGAAACTAGTTTATAGAAACCCATGCGTCAAATAAAAGTTAAAGAAATATTTATAAAGTAGCGGACACTTAACAATTATAGTACGGCTTTGGGCTGACTCTAAGCTCCAAATTTGGCAGGACACCAGTTCGATTCCTAGCTTTTGCAGTTTAAGAATCGAATTATTTACGAATAATAAAACACAAGAATTATTTCCAAGACCACTGATAAGGGGTATTTGGCAATACTCGAAACAGGTCAGTCAAAACATGATCAGCCAAAAATTAATTAAAATAATTTAAAATTAATTTTTGTTGTTGTAGTTCACTACTGTTCGAAAAAAACCACTTTATAAATTCATTATATTATATATTATTATCTTAAATGTCATATTTGGCATTGAATAAAGATTAAAACCTAAGACTAACATATATCTATGGTAGAATTATATCAGTGAGCTTATGTAAAGATTTGATTTCTCTCTATTAAAATGTAATACAAATATTTTAACATTTACATGTACAAATTTATTAAATAATATGTGTAAATTTACTTCAATTTCGAAAATAAATAAATCAAAAAAAAAAATAAAAATAAAAATAATCTGAATATCAAAAAAAATAAATTGAAAGCTTACCGTTTTATTTCCCAAATTCCTTACACGGCAGCTCAGATATGCTGATTTACCCATTAACCCCGTAACGTTACGTGGTGTTGATGGATCAAAGTATGGTTCAATCCACTTGGGATGCATGTAACTGGTTGGTATGTTTGTAGTTGTTGGGGCTGTTGTTGTTGTGACTTCATCCAAAGAATTATAACCCTCAATGGGACCTTGCACGCCACCATTTGTCATATCTGCAAAACACAATGAAAAACAGTAAGGAACTGTTGAGTGAAATATTTAAAAATTAAACACAACAATATATAGCACAGCAAAGCGTAAAAGTGAAAGATAGAATTTTTGAAAAGTGAATGTCAAAAATTTTGTAAAAGGATTTGAAAGTACAGTCGGTGCACTTGCATAAAGAAGACTAAAACACAATACGCCGAAACACAAAACAAATATCCTTGCATGCTTTTGAAATTGAAACGTTTTATTATTTTTCCTTTTTCCGCCTTTCCGTCTTTCCGCTATGCTTTTCACACTTTCATGTGTGCTTTTTATTTTGTGTTTAGAGTATTTCAAAGAGAAATTTCCCTTTTTTTTATAAATAATTTTTAAGCTAAAATAGGAAATTCATATGCAAAATAAAACACAAAAACTTTTTGAAAACCGAAAACCGAAAACTAAACACAGAACACATGATACTGAAGAACACTAAACGTAATGGAACAAAATGGAATTTCATTTAAATTCGTCAGCGCATATGCATTTGAGCGTTTTTTCTATTTGATGTGTGAACGAGTTAGTCAGTCTCTATCTATGCATGTTTATGTGTGCGAGCGTATGCTTCCGTATAGGTTTTAGCACATAAATGCACCCAAGCAAAAACGAAGCTGCGCAGATTTTGGTTTGAAGTTTAGCTTAAAACGTTTTATGCACTTCGCAAAGTTTTGTGGCTGTATTAGTGTATATGCATATAAAAAGCATTCAGTGCTTTGGAACTACAGCTGTGTTTAAGTTCTCAAACAACACTGCATCCCTGCGGAAACTCCTGCGAATTAAAATCAGAAATGTGTGCATGTGTGGTAGTGACATTTTTAACACTTTTTGCGATGCTTTGTGTTTGCCGTTCTAATCTCAAATAAATTTTTGTTCTTTATTAGTTTATCATTTTTATGTTATGGAAAATATTTTAATTAAAATGAAATTTTTTTCTTTTTTTTTTCATTTTAATTTCTTAATTAAATGCTTGAGGTTACACTGTTTTTCAAGAAATTTAGCAGAAACTTAATGATAAATGTGTTGTGCAATTTCGCATAAATTTCTCGGCGAATTCTTCCTTAAAGAAGTGCTTATTATCCTTGAAATCCTTGAAAATAACACAAACTTTTAAATACTCGAATATTAAGATATTTCCGAAACAGATTTTTCGAACAGTAGTGAACTACAACAAGCGCTGACTCTGAGCTTCAAATTAGGCAGAACCTGAGTTCGATTTCTGGTACTTGCAGTCCCAAAAAAATGTTTACGAATAATTTAATACAAGAAATATTTCCAAGACCACTGATGATGGGTATTTAGCAATACTCGAAACAGCTCTATGGCCAGCCAAAAATTCTATTAATTAAAATAATATAAAATAAATTTTTGTTGTTGTATTTCACTACTATTCGAAAAGACGCGAAATATACCAGTTTCTTTTAAATATGATAGTCACTTCCATTGATATTCATTTTATTTTATTTATTATAATTAAAATTTAATTGAAAAATTTGTCTAAATTTATTTCTCAAACTAAATGGTGTGCATAAAAACAATATTATTTATGACTCTGAGAGAATTATATAGTAATGTCAATAGTATGTCAGTCTTTAAAAATTGATATCACAAACCAACACCAAATACAAATAATCAATGTCAATAGCATAAAAGACAACATACTTAGTCGCAAAAATATTAACATTAAATTTACACTGACTATAAATAACTGTTTGACAGAATGAGTCAATAAAAGAAATGCTTTGACCACATGATGAATGATAACTCCGATGAATTAAAGCAAATAAAATGCCATATAGAGTTAATAAGAGCAGTATTTTCCAAATGAAATAGAGTTCAAAACAGTCATTCTTTTAATTGAAAATTAAAACTACGTTTTTTATAATGTTTAAGGATTTCAATTATGCTTTCTGACGATAAAAATTGAACAATAAAAATGCCTGACATTACCCGAAGAGCATCACTCAAAATTTGGTTACTCAAAAAATTACTCAAAATATTATCGGCTGTTCACGTCTCTAACTCTGGAGTTCTACAAAGAGTACTAATGACAGAGAGCAATAAATATGATATTGCAGCCATATTTACCATAATTCAAAGTATTAAAAACACGCAAGATCTTTTATTGCGGATAAATATGATGAGTATTGGAAAACTGCAGTATTTGTGCTTAAGGAATATATAACAAATAATCGGTGTGTTAGCAATAAAGGTATTATTTACCATATTAGTCTAAATATTTCGTTATTTATTAACAGATAATGAAATAATATAAAATTTGAAATAATAAATGTAAAATGTTCCGGTCAAATAGATAAGCTTTGAAAGGAAAAAAATTAACTGCATAGCTAGGTATTTCGATTTTAACTGCCAATACGTCTTATGCTGATTAAAATTGAGTTCATTTTTCATCGACATACTCGAATAAAGACACAGGCATTGTCTAGAAGTCCATTCCATTTTTGATCATGCATTAGTTCGTGACTTTAAATGGAAGAATCTTGAATTAACGCTTCAAATCTCAATGCATAAATCTCTAGTTCAAAAGGCGTTAATTACAATCATAAAAAAGCAGTCTATAGAGTTTTGTGAAATATGTGACATTTCTACAACACACTTGTAATTACTCTTGAAACCAAGTTCCGAATTCGATTAACTTCCGCTATATAAATAAGAAAATTGTGGGATTTTATATAGAAGTTGTTGCAAATAGTGTTATTGAAAAAGCATTCCGATTTAATAATATTGTTTTAAACAATGAGATAGGAATAAATGTAAATAATTGTAATGCCTTAATCATTTTTTCTTCTGTTATTTAAAGAGATTTTTCATCAAATGTGCTTCTTAATCCACTTACTGACTACGCATGTAAAAATGTAACCAGTTTCGGTTTTACTTAATTAGCTTAGTGGAGATAAGGCTTTTAAATATCTTTTAACTTTTAAAAATTTTTGCAAAGCTATGTACTAATTTACTCTCCTGACAATGTGATAAACACTTGCCTAGAAATAATTGAAATTCATATGCCTCACGGAAAAAATGTTAATTTTAAAGTTTTTTTTTGTTTTTTAAATAATAGACAAAGTAAGAAATACAAAATTAAAAAAAGTTGCTAAAGCAAAATAGTAAAACAGCATCGTAATTAAACGGTGTCTCATTGCATCAGTGAACATTGCAATTATGCGCGGACTTAAGAAGAGTAAGCACATACTTTTACAACACTTATTCTTTTTCTTTACTTTTCTTTGCTTATGATTATTACATCCACAACACTAAGAAGACAACTCAGACAACCAGTATATGATATACATTCACATACAACTCATTTACCGACTCAAGTAACTAGCAACATAAACAAGATTTAAGAAAAATTTTCAAGTGAAGCAGGAAGAAAAGAAAAAAACTAATAAAATTCAAGACAAAATATTTAAATGAAAAACTTTTAAACTTTTCTGAAAATGTTGAAAAGTTGTTAACTTTGTTTGCCAACAAAGCAGGCAGCATATGACATCAGCCTCAAAGATATATAAATCTAAAGCTGGGAAAAGAAATGCACAAGTTACCAGCAAATTCCCTAAGGACGTTAAGAAGACGAAGTTCGTCAACTACAAAACTGCATAAATTTATGATATATGCTGATGCTGCTACTTATTATGCTTAATTCGAAAGAACAAAAAAAAAATCAGTTGCATAGGAGAAAGTTTGGTTCTAAAAAATAGTCCTGATATTGTATTATGCAAAAAAAAGGAGGAGAAATGTTAATTTTCGTTTAAACCCTTAAATGTGCATATACCATAATTTGTGCATATGTATGGAGTACCAAGCTGTGTGTTATTGAACTTTCAAGTCAGTTGATATTTAAATAAGTACTCGCAAATGTACACATAATTATGTGTCGCACATTTTATACTACAGCTTATTGCACTTAACACTCATACGACCTGTTGGCCACGAAAGCGAGAAGAGTATGTAGACTCTTCATATAATATTTTATACGCCAGATGCTTTTATTTGCTTAAATTAGCAACTTATACATGCATTTTTAAATAAAAAAGCTAACATGCATATAAACATATTTTAAGTTTAAATAAATTATTTAAAAACATGTCAACACGACATAAATTTCTTCCTTAACTTGTTATAAATATTCCGGCGGACTAATCTGCTTAGTATAAACTTGAAGCAAATTAAACTTATATATATGCAGTAAATAAATAAACATTTTAAATAAAAATTTTATTAAAGGGAGAAAATGAAGAGAAAGTACGTGCGGCGTTAATAAATATTCAAATATTCTCATATTCATTAAGATATAAACAAGACTTTCTGCGAATAAATATGAGTATTAGAAGAACAGCTTTTATCAACAGAAAACATAAAAAAAAATGTTAAATATATTTCAGTCCTCAGTAATAATTTCTTTTAAGATAACTTATTAATTATGTGCATTTATACGCTACTTATTCTGGTACATTATGGTGCCGAAAGAGCCTTCCAAGTGGCATATAAGTGTGAGTCAAAAATACTGCAAAAAAAAATTTGCAAATGATTATTTTGAAGGGATTACTTCATTTAAGTTTGTATCAAGAAGATTGTCGTACTCGCTTACTTACTGGTTACTGCCGATATATAATATCCAAACCTTGAGAGCCCTATGTACTTGCAAATAATGTGTTCACTAAATTTGACACTTTGTCATTCTAGCTCTTCTCTAACTCTTCTCAGTTGTCCATAACTAATCTTTAAATTATACTTGAAAAAAGTGGGTTGTCCAGTAATTTAATAAATGCTCCACAGTCAGTGGATAGAAACAGTATAAAACAAACATCTTCCATAAACAGAAATGAAGTATTTATGTATTAGAGAGTATTGAAAAAATAATATATGTCAATAAAAAAATTAGGAAAACAATTAAGGATAATGAATTTGATAGCGACTTTTACAGTGTAATACATAATATTTCCAATGGAGCAGCATATATCGCAAGTTAT